TTATGATTACATAGATAATCGAGTCATGAGACCACAAAGAATGAATGCATCTTCGCTACTGAGAACTACTCTGAGTCATGACAGAAACAGTCTCCAGCCATCAACTTTAAGCGACTATGAGAACCCAAATAGAGTATACACCTCTCTAAGTGTCTCAAAAGAACAGTCAAAAAACTTCATAGATTGCTGTATACATAGTAGGTCGTCTTATATCGACCGGAGTAAATTTATGTAAGACTGAATTGATATATCACATTTAAAACATTTCGCTCTAAGGTCAGTGATCTAAGATAGTTCCAACAAACCAATTTGATGGAATAGAATATGACCATGTGGAAACACACATCCTAGAGATTGCACTGTCAATAATAAGTATAAAATTCCCACCAGAATAACCAGAAATACACCATCAAACAATAGATCGATTGGAAACATTTCCCAATACGAATTTAAAAGGAACAAAAAATGTCACTAATGCAGGATTCGATGTATCCATTAAATTTCGTTAGAACTCTTCAGCTGCTGAATACTCTACATACGGGGACATACATACTATTGAAATTACATTGGGGGATATAAGACTGATAAGCAAACAGACTAAATTGAATCAGTTATGCAGAACAACTGGTGTGAATGTTTTTCAGGTCATGTTCAAATAGATATAAGGGGAAGGGAGTATAAGAGATTAAAATTCCGATAAAATGCACTACGGTTCAATTACATCACTTAGATGAGCAATTACTTGAATGTACCAAGATTGCGAACTGAATAAGATTCATAATAATAGTGCTGGTAATAGTCGCAATAGAAAATAATAGTGTTAAGACTAAACCACAAAACCTATGATCCATGTGAACGTGAAGGATAAGCTACCACTGCTGGCCTCATCAATGTGCATTTATCTATTCACCTGCTCGTGTGGAGCCAGGTATGTCGGCCGTACCCAGCGTTCCCTTTCCAAGCGTATCACCGAACACTTACCGACATGGTTTTGTAAAGGAGAAAAACGATGTCCCCGCTGCTCCATCTTAGAACATCTGATAGAATCCGGACACCAAGCTGCACCCCAAACAAACTTCAAAGTCGTCTAAAGACTAGGAAGTAGTCTTTCTAAAGGTGTACGAATAAGACTTCTTCAAACTGCAGAAGCAATGGTGATTCACTTGATAAGCCCTGAACTCTGCATACAGAAGAAGTTCGTTCAATCACTACACTTGCAATGGACTTAATCTATCTCATTACCTGGAAAGTAAATTTTACTTAATCTTTTTTTCTGTCTCTTCATTAGTATTATTTTGTCTTTTCAATTGTAATATTTTACATTTTCAACTTTCTTGTTCTCTACCCCCACCCGATTTGATTTCTACACCTCACTACCACTGTTACTGACTTGACCAACGCCTAATTTTTAGTCATTTATGTTACGTCATCCAACTTATTTGCTCAATTTCAGTTCTAATTTAAATGACATTATTCTCTAACCCACTTCTACTTAGTCTCAACCTGTAATTACCCCTGTTGCTACCCTGACCTAAGTTGAAACATTTTAGTCAGTTATATTACGTCATATAGCTTACTAACTCAATCTTACTTTAGTTGCTGTCTGATTAACCTTGTTTCTATACTAGATCATTCTTGTATTGCCTGATCAATTATCTAAACTTGACAAACCTCATGTACATACACACAAATAATTATATATAAATGCGATTGTACAGCTATGTGAATGAATTCGCTGAAAAGAGTCTCTTCGCTGAAAGTCTTCTGTTTTCATAAAACTAGATAAGCTAATGGTACTAACAAAGAATAGATCGATCGCTTTAAAAATATGGTAATAAGACAAAAATCACTTGATTCCGGACAAAAACACTAACAACCAACCAGTGATAAATGACTTGTTCGATTCGCCTACGGTTTTACTAGGTCCATGATCTACTTGCTCACTTAGCATTTGATGGACTAACACAGAGAAATACTTTGTTGGCATATCATATGATCGAGTTAGCCTTAATGTCGATGTTCGGAAATCAACCAATCAGATGTGCAAGTCGCCCACACTAACTAAATAGGCAGCAACACGCCTACGCACATCAAATAACTTAAACGTCTTCTGATTGGTAGATTTCAGTACACTGACATCAAAACCAATAATCAGCTGATTAGTACCTTTATCCATTGCCAAAATGATTAACGCGATAGTCTCTGATCCAAGGGAAAATATGAAAAGGATGCAGATTATATCGAAGAAAAGACGAGTTGTCAGCCTTCTTGTCCACTTAATGTTTGGTAACTTAAATAAGCACGTTAGAATATGATAAGTACAGTACATATTAGCTATCGACATTCGGTGTATGTGAAACTTAACAATAGAATCTTGTTTCATCCATATAAATAATCGCATTGCTGAGATCTTTTAAGAGCCTCTAACATGATCTGGCTTTTGAGAAATGTCTCATTCCATGTTAGTTAACACTGATCGTCGACGATGGTTTGTGCAGCATCTGCCCTAGCCACCTAACACCATTACGACCTATGGTATTAACGATCACCTTCTCTGATAGTCAACGTTTGATCAACATTACCTGCCATGTTGCGTAAAAACCAGTAGTCTTTGATGCAGTCATGTCTCACAGCTTTAAAATAGAACTGTGAACGAACTGTTGCGCTGCGAAATCGACGGATACCTTATCCGTACTGAATACGAGTAAGTACAGAGATTCCGTTGCTGATCACTTAGTTTCATTTTTCCAAAGTGTGTTTAAGAAATGAAAATAGAAACTGAGCATTGTGGCAGAGTATAATTCCATCAGAGAGTATATTTATTTGATAAAAGCACATGGTAATACAGCATTATTTTCTAATGACGGCTCAAGATCATAACCATATTCAAGGCAACCACATAAACTTCCAAATTCGTTTATATAATTCTATTACTTCTTATCCTTTAATTTTATTGACAGAGGTATTTTCAGTATCTTTCGTACTATTGTTGCGTAACTCCTATTGAATGTGTTGGGTGTGTAGATTCAATGAACAAAGATTTAGTGATTAACTTTTCAAGAGTATTTGTATGGATTTGAATCGTTTCAACTTTGATCACGGACTGATATCATTTAGAGAACCACTGAGAACCAGAAAGTACTGGACAACTGTTTCGTCCTAGTTTGGGACTCATCGGAAGCACACACTCACCGGGTTTCGAACCTACGAACAAAGTCATTAGTGACTGGCTGGCTTCAGGACGAAGTTTCCTGGAGTTCTAGTGAGAAGTAATGACCAGTGGAGTCCAACAGGTCGGGAGTGAGGACAAATACTCGCCGCCTATGATGATGGTCGCTCTAAAACCACAAATTGGTAAAAGTTAGAATTCATGGACCGGTCACTGAATCGGGTCTCAACTGGCTGAATGGTCTACGAGCTTGACTTGTAACCGCAAGGTCGTGGGTTCGAACTGTGGCGGTGGATGCGTACTGTCGATGAGTCACGAACTAGGATGAAACAGCTGTCCAGTACTCTCTGGCTTTCCAATAGTTCTCTAAGTGTTATCGACCCGAGAGGAAACTTGACTGACTTTTCCATCTACCCGCCTATATTACTTCTCAGAACTATAGCTCTACCCCCCCCACACACTTTATGGTGTGATTGTCTGTTAACATATGCATCGCGACCGCAAAGTTTTTCTCTAAACGCATCCTCTTTATGTGGTCAATCATTCTATACTTAGCCAAATGCTTATGTTCTGATAATCTGACCACTCCCAATCTACTGGTCCGACCTACTCAATCGACCTCACAGTCGTTGTCTAATTGTGTCAATATGATCCTTATGTAGGCTTTCAGATGTCCCTTGTATGGTTGGTAAGGCTGGAAATGCCACAAATTCTTTCTTACTTATGTTCTGATCAATATATATATCTACTATATATCTGTCTCGCTTTACATATGGCTTTTTGTAAACTTCTTAATCAATTTTATGAAATAGTTATTCAGCACCAGCACTTCTTCTATCCACTTTTGATTATTGATATCAGGGGTAGTTGGAAGCAATCAACAGGAAGCCCTGCCAGACCTAGTTGTCGTGCTTGTTGACACTCATCACAGTCAGCAAGGCGTGTATTATCTGCAATCTTGAAGAAGCTCATTTCCCTTCTAAGATTCGGACCTGTGTGTCATCACCACCACCACCACCCTCAGTGCTTCTGCAGTCAGAGAGACGTTACCACCACTGAACTATTTGGGCTCGTGATTGACCTCCTCTAGGGACTGTATTGCATACTTTGATTGGAATGGTCTCTCCATATGTGCATATCACCATAATAAGATTTGTTTAGCTCCCTCAACGACATACACTAGCACTCATATCTTGACAACAGAATATGTATACAACAAAAATTAGACCCAGTGTACTTCAGATTTTAACGACACCGTAAAGATGGAATTAGAATCAGACAATAAAGCAGGTAATCACTGAATACGACAAGTGTAGCACAGCAATATATATTTGAACATACATGCATGCATGTGTATATGGTAAGTCAATTAAATAAAATCATGATTTTTCTCAATGACAGAAAATAATAATAATAATAATAATAGTAGTAGTAGTAGTAGTAGTAAGCAATGACAGATAAGAAGAAGACAAACAAGGCTTCACAATTCATTGGTGTGATATGGTTTCAACACTACGCGGCTAATAGTTATAACAAATGAATGTATAAGTGTATGAAAACTCCCGTCACCCACTCACTCACACACACACACGCAAAGACACTGTAATACCTTGTAGAAGCGATAGATAGATAGACAGATAAACGAATGAGATATATCACCTTTAACTGATGGGTTAGAAGCTAAAGGGGAAAGTGAAAAGTCACAGAGAGAGAGAGTGAGTGAGTGAGTGAGTGAGTGAGTGAGTGAGTGAGTGAGTGAGTGAGTGAGTGAGAAGGAGAGGGTGCGCGCGAGCGAGAGAGAGAAGCGATAATAACTTATAGCGGTGCTGCTTTAGAATACATAAATTAGACTTCTAGGATAATTTAACTTGTTCAATGATGGTAAACAGGCCAATTCAATCATTGGTGGAGGTCCACAGAGAAGTGTGAGTGTATCTTCACTTGATGGATAGATATGCTCCTGTAACATTTTCTCATTAATATAACCTGTACTGTACGACCAATCTGATAAATTAATAATAATAATAATAATAATAATAGTTTTAAGTTTAAACGAATAGAAATATTAGCAATAAATATTAAACATGGAAAAGCTTAAAGCAGTGAATCATAGATAGATGAAGGAAATCGGCAGGAAACCATTGGACCTAGGTTTCGTGCTTGTTGGCACTCACCAGTCAGCAAGGAGTATCTACAACCTTGGAGGAACTCATGTCTCCACAGTGTCTTTAACCCGTTGCTGCTACAGTCAGAGACGATGTTACTACCACTGAGCTGTTCGGACTCGAGATTGACCTCCTTTAGGGAATGTATAAGATACTTTCATTGGACACTACATAATAAGTACCTAGTGTCATGAGTCTAATCCTTTGCTTGGTGCAGACTGAATTCTTTGATAGCAACATTGGGTGACACGGGTGCCAAATCTCAGAGGGGGGGAGGATATGAGTTCCATCAATGTTGCAGATACGCGTTGCTGACTGCTGAGTGCTAACAAACACGAAATCTAAGTCCAAGGTTTCCTGCTAATTGTCTCCAACCGTCTAATAACAAATGAGGAGAACACAAAAAACGGGATACCTTTATTTATTTATGGATGCTTAACTCTGTCTCCATTCTTTCGCCCTAATCACCCGGGTTGATTCAATTGGCCGCTCTTTAGAAACCATATTGGTACGCCTGTCCTCCTTAGATTGCTATTCTTTAAATTCTCCTTTTCAATCAAAGAAGTTACCACTGATCGATCAATCAATCACCAGTGCATCTTAATATATGAGTAAAACTTGGGCACTGTGGTAGTAGGTAATTCCATATTAGTTTGTTTATTAAATGTATCACACAGTGAAACAGTATTGTATACTGGATGACGTTTCGAACACAATTTATTGTTTATAATCATATCAATTTCGGTCACACGACTTCGAGAAGGAGAAGACAGAGAAAACTATAAAAATCAAATCTCGAAGTCGTGTGACCAAAAATGATATGATTATGAACAATAAATTGTGTTCGAAACGTCATCCAGTATACAATACTGTTTCAATGTGTGATACATTTAATAAACAAACTAATATGAAACACCAGTGCATCTATTTTTAGGCCTACATGAGATCAACAGTGAGCTTGAATACATCTCAGTAGTTTAGTGTGATCGATGACATCTTTGTGAAGCACATATTGTCCTTAGGGAGAAAAAACCTTAAACTCTTCCTTTCTATATTATCCTGAAGGATAAAGAAAGTTTTGCAATTAAACTATCAGTTTTATAAATAATAAAGTAATAATACTCAAAGTGTCTCATGCACAGTGTACCAACACGGAAATGCTCTATGCATGTAGAAATCCCTGAACAGTATAATAGTGAAGTGATGAAATACATAGAGATATGCATTTTTCGAAAAAGTGCGTGATTTTCTAGAAATTTATGCATTGATTTTTTAAAATCCTACTACGTTCCGAGTGGAACATAGACTTTCAAGTTAGAGCTTTTGAAGTTTCCGTAACAGTAGTTTTATTTTTAGGATATATGGTTGCTGGCGCCACGCCCAACCTTCCCTTTTTTACCAGCATTAATAATCTGCTTAGCAAGGTCTAGACAGGAGTGCGTTGGCCGAGGATTGAACCCCGGACCAAATGCATGGTTGACGAGTAATCTACCGCTTAACCACCGACGTATGTACGTATAGATAAGTCGAACTAAGGGTAAGACATGATTTATAACAATGTGCCCCCATAAAAAACTTGATACAGCCGACAACGAGCAGATTTCGGTCAACTTCATGAAATGTTCTTATGCGGCCACACGACCATGGCCTCTGACAGGTAAGTCCTACTCACTGCCTTCATCCAAGGCACGGTTGTTCCTCAAAAAAGGTTAAGGGTAGATTGCGAATGTCTGACACCTACAGCAGGACTGGTGGACACGTAGGTCTACCTAGAGCAGCTGCAAAACCTTGCAGAATCCGGACGGATAGGATGCTGTATTAAGCTGTTTTAGACACCATCAACCATGAGAACATAGCTCATGATGCTGCTCCTCAACCTTGTGGATTAGACCTCAAGTCAAAAGCTTAGAAGATAAACACCTGCTTTTGTCTGAGCGTCCAAGCACCATCCTAGGCCTCGCACAAACTACGATTTCATTTGCGTGGCACATTTCATCACGTACTAAGTCCGTGTTTTAACAAATAGTAAATCAATAATTAATCAAAACAGTGTCTGTCCCAAGGTGAAAGCAATTAAACAATTAATATTTTTATTGTCATGTTAGATGGCTAAATCGATTGACATACGATCAAGTAGTTTCATTCTATCTGTCTAACTACACAACTTTTGTTTTAATACATGTGCCTGTAGAGATATTTCCCCTTTTGTAAGTCCATTCATAATCCTGTCCTTTCAATGACTTAGCAACAGTGTCGTTTACTGTCAGTCAATTCGGATTTAGAATTCAAGAACACTGTTCAGCTAGACTGCCTAGATGGAAGAAAAACAAAGCTAGTGATTCTCTTTTTGTGAACTTCAATCAACTTTGAGCATCCACTTACCTGGTGTGATGCCTTTAAAGTGATCGAATGAGTTTGAAATCATTTAATCAGAACATACTTTTTCATATTAGTTTGTTTATTAGATGCATCACACAGTCACTGTGAAACAGTATTATTTACTGGATGACACAGTTTCGAACAAAATTTATTACTGTTCATAATCATATCAATCAATTATAATCACACAACTTAGAAACTTGAGTTTTATAGCTTTCTCTGTTCCCTCCTATTTGTTGTCGTTGGGATAGTAGAATTTTCCAGATCTCCAACTGGACAGGCGTTGAATCATTCCTATTACATGTATTTGCAGTTGTATAATTTGTATTCGGCTTGAAGCATGAAACAAAACAATTTAGTTTATCTAATATTCTGCCTTCAATGATTGTCAGGCCAAATACATAGTTCAAACTAGTAGAACAGGAGCAGTCAGACTATCCGAACATAAAAACCCGGCAGCAAAATCTAGATTAGTTGATCCAAATAAGATAAGAAATCTAGAGAATAGTTCAGCCGTAGCATTACACGCAATAACACAGAGACATACAATAGGATGGGATAGGATGACAGTTTTAAAATCTAATGTCACAGGGTGGAGGGAGAGATTGATAACAGAAGCTTTGTTTATCGAATCAACTGCAAGCACATGCAATAGGAATGATTCAACACCTGTCCAGTTGGAGATCTGGAAAATTCTACTACCCCCAACGACGACAAATAGGAGAGGACAAAGAAAACTATAAAACTCAAGTTTCGAAGTTGTGTGATTATAATTTATATGATTATGAACAATAATTTGTGTTCGAAACGTCATCCAGTAAATAATAATGTTTCACTGTGTGATACATCTAATAAACAAGTTTTACACACATAGAACATACGTTTCATTATCCCAGAAAGTAATCCATACACATATACTGCATTAAGGTTGTTAATACTAACCAACTGTCCAAGTTAAAGTAAGTGGACCAGGACTCGGACCCACTCAGGACCGAAAGCTGGCTGCCAATGAGCAACATCCCCACTCATATACAAATCTCCAAGTTCGATATAACAATTTTAAAGTATTTCCCTCAGTATAAGCGAGTTTACTTTAATAATAATAATAATAATAATAATAATAACAAACTGAAACTTACGTTCAGGTGGGTCGCTCACGGTATACCATAGACGGAAATGATTAGGATATTTGTCTTTCAAGATTTCCAGTTCATCACGCAGAATTATATCTTTATCACTCTACAAAAAACAGGCAGTAATGATAATAACAGTAGTAGCAATTAAAATTCATCATTCTCCTTTGGAAACGAAGGTTATTCATTCCTTAAGTTCCGTGTGAAACATACAGCTTCAAACTTGGGATCTTGAAGTTTCAGTAGAGGTGAGATGTTTTAGTGGGGTGGGATGGTTGGCTAGCTGGTTGTTCTTACACTCAATATTTTTCTGGCATACTTTCGGCTTATAAAACTAGACGAAGCTAAGGAGTGTGTGTGTGTGTGTTGGGAACTGAATCCCAGATATTGGGTGTGTTAAGCAAGCATTATACAATTGAATCACAGACACCACTATTATGTATCCCTGGTATTATATTGCTACACACCCTTAATTCCGTGTTAACACAAAGATCTATGTTAAGCATATCAACTGATTTTAGCATCTAGATTTCTCAGATGATATATGTCTAATGTCACATAAACTCGAGGACATACAGGCGCAAAACCAACAAACTGGCTGAAGAAGCAACCACGGAAGCCAGGCCTTCAGGTGAACATAGAGAAGATGAAGATAATCAACGAACAGCAACAGCAACAACAACAACAACAACCAGCACCAATTAACATCAACCGGAGAGATATTTAACAGAGGTTACCTCCTTCACTTATCTGAGAAGCATTCTCTCTACTACAGGCCGAACAGATGAAGATGTCAAAGTCAGAATCAGAAAGGCGAGATACACCATCATCATCATCATCATCATCAACCAACCTGAAACTAGTTTGGAAATCTTCTGCAATAAGTATTATAGACAGAACAAGATTTGGATTTTCAACACAAATGTGAAGTTAGTCAGCACACTTCTTCTATATATATGGGTCAGAAACTTGAAATGTGTATCACAACAAAGGATTTCCAAAAGGTTGAAGATTTTCACCAACAACAACTGCCTTCGCTGGTTCCATACTGAAGATCAAATGGTCGGACAGAAAGAATAATTAACAAGAAACTGTGGCGATGAGCAAACCAACAGAGAACCGATCGCTTAACAAATATGTAGGAGAAAATGGAGATGGATCATGAGTACATTGAGGAGGCAACCGAATAACATCGCACGCCAAGCCATTACTCGAGTGGAATCCAAATGGGAAGCGAAGAGTGGATCGTCCATAAGAAGGTGATATGGAGGAGATCGTGTGGCGAGCAGGGGATGAGAGACAATGGGCAATCGTGGACCCAGCTGAAGAGGACCGCAGAAAAAAGAACAAAGTGGAGATCTGTGGTTGAAGCCCTATGTTCCACTCAGAACTCAAGGGAATAATAATAATCTGGTCTTCATATATATATGATATTATTATGTTAGTCTGCGACAGTGGATGCCCCCACTCAATGGACTGTCTTTTTCCCTTCTTACATCATTTGTCAGTGGTATCGTGTTCTGCTGATTGTCGTGGTAGACAGTGATCAGAACAGCAGACTCTCAAATCCGCTAGCTGTATTGACGGTCATACCAACCACCGCATTATGTGATGGTGTGGTGAGAGCAGGCTGCTAGCCAATTGGTAGACATTAATTTACGTCAATGTCTAGGTTACTGATATTGGCCGTGAGAAAATATGAACAAGACTGATTCAACAACCAATCACAGCAGACTTAACGTAGGCAAATAAGATTCGCAAATATATGGCTTAACTTTCCGAGAAACCAGAAACAACCAATCAGAAGACTGTGTTTGTCTGCTTGAATAAGCTATAATAATGTTCATGAAACATATATAAATACGTGCTGATTTCCGTAATAAAACGATCTGTTGCCGGCCCTTGTTTTCTGTTGTTACAATGGTAATTAAGACCGAAGTGATCTGGACATCGTTTGTGACCGAGTTCACTCGATGACACTAGGGTGAGAGAGTTGAGCCAGTTGAAGCCACTTAAATTTTGGCCAGCTACTTGGATGTGAAATAGTTAGGTCATACCAGAAGACAACAGCATTAAAATTAATCAACGTGACTGTGTTTTTGGGAAAGGAGGTGAGGGGCAGAAACAATTGAGTTCTTGGGGTATACCCCCGCTTGACAGCAGTGGAATCGCACCAATGCTGAGAGAGCTAGAATACCATCAGGCAGTATCCTCTCCCTGCTTTACTCACTCAACTTCTATCAAAAACACGTATACTTTTAGGTTGTATCGCATACAATTGCTTTCGTTCTAAAGCAAGTGTCTTATTTTGCAAAGCGTATGTTCACCCTATTTTAAAATACAACCCATTTACTCTTAGTGGACATCGACTCTGAATGACAAACTTAAATTAGAAAAGGTATTAACGACACTTAGCTTTAGTAAGAACTCTTAGCTCAGAATGTGGTCTTCACTCAACTGAGATTTGCAATTAGGCTGATGATGGTGGTTTGAGCTTAACCTTAGTTGTTGTTTTTTTTTAATTTACTACAAGTTGACTAATCTTTTCTCATATTCCTCTAACGTGATATAAAATGGTTAAATCTATTCACCCACCCACCCCCATTGAAATTAGTTACAATTTTAGAAATCATAATAACATGATATGTGTGTGTGTATATACATAAAAGTCTTATGGTATTTTGTTTGAATGAACCGCATGAGACGCATCATTTTTTTTCGCGCGCATATTTCAATATCATATGACAAAAAACGAAATAAAAACAATATGACCAAAAATAAGACAGATTTTCTCTAAAATAATAATAATCATAAAACAATTCAACAATGTAAACAATCAACAATATTTGATTTTGTATTGCAGGTCATTAACTCTCAGTGGCCTAATCAAGGCGACAGCAGAAATAACAGGAATCAGAATAGATCATTACACACACACATGTGATTGTGTTAATTAGTGCTTAATTTACTATCAGTTGAGTGAAGATTTATGAAGTCTTTGGCTGAGGTTTACCAGACTTTTAGAATGAATTCAGCAATATATCTCATCTCTACACTGTCGTCTACATTGTCTATTCAATATACTATCATCCCCCTAGGTCTCGGAGTGGGCTTCAGCTGCGTACCTCCATTTCAGCTTGTTTTCTAAAGTCCTTTTCTTAGATGGCTCCTTAATTGCCCACAAGCTTTCCTTTCTTCCTCATACAATCTCTTCTAGATCACTACCCTAGGAAGCGCATCTCATCGTCGAGTTTTCTCATTCGGGTTCCACTTGAGGGCCTAGTACACGTGATATCCCTCAACTATCCCCCTCAGCCTGTAACAACCAATCCATCTCCATTTCTTCCTGTATATTTGTTCTTGACTGATTCGTTGGAAATGTTCCTTGTCACTTGTTTATCTTTTCTGACCGGCTATCTAATCTTCAGTATGCAGAGAAGGCTGTAGCTTTTTTGGAAATGCTCTAGGTGATGACGCGTTGGTTACTGAACCATATGGAAGTACTGAATTGACGTCAGTGTTGAAGATCCATGATTCATGAAGATCATGGTGAATACAGTAGATTTCCATACTGATTCCAGAGTGATTAAAGCCTGCCTTGCTTTTCCGATCATAGTTGGGGCTTTGAAATTCTCATCCGTGCTGCCATAGTTAAAAATATCCTGATTAAGTGAAATCCGTCAGACTTCATCCGTTGATGCTTGTTGTTGTTGGTGGTGAGGCATCATCACCACTTTTGTCTTTTCTATGTTCAACTGAGGTCCTTACAGTAGAAATTACTTATTACTTATATGTTTGAATGAACGCTAGAAAGCCGACAAACCACTTGATGAAAGAATTAACTTTAATACACACTTTTTTCTAATCGATAATTTCAGTTTATTGATGTCATTCACGAAAGTTATTCAGTTAGTTTGTTTGTTGAAACTTGTTTTATTTCTTTAAGTTCCCAAAGGAATATAGGGCTTCAAGAGAAAGGCTTGAAGTTGCCGTAGCAGTGGGGGTTGCTAGTCTCATGCCCAACCTTCCCTCTTTATCAGTCTTATTACTGGCTTAGCGAGGTAAAGGAGCATCGGCCGGGAATCGAACCCCTGAGGCGTGGTTGGCGAGCGTTCCACCGTCGTGCCACCAACGCACAAACTTAGTTATCTAAAATAAATTTCCATGAACCATATGCCATGGCTAGGGTCATGCATAGTTACTGTGAAATGACTGATGATACTAACTAGTTGTTGTGATTTCAGTAAGTGTGGGGGGTATTTAAACCCAGGATTCGTTAGTTACCAGCCGAACGCCTATCCCAATGAGCGATATCTCCACTGATTCAAAAATATGTGGGGATTAGCTCTATAGGGTTTCTATCAAGTTATGATTTAGTTGGCTTCTGCTTATGAAAATAACGGTATTCTATCTCTTATTCCACAGATCGGAAGACTCCAGTAACATACACGATTCATGAGGAACTCGGAACATTCAGAAAGACAATCTTAAATAACGTCTCATACAATTAAAATGCCAAAAAGAGATTTTTTATTCCTTCATGTTCTCAGTGGAACATAGGTCTTCAAGCTAGTGGCTTGAAGTTTCTGTAGCAATGTTTATTTTTACAGGATAGGGTTGCTAGCCTTGTGCCCAGCCTTTCCACTTTACCAGCTCTTATTACTGGCTTAGTCAGGTAAAGGAGTGGGTTGGCCGGGAATCGAACCTCGGATCATGAGTATGGTCAGCGAGCGTCCTAACCGCTATGCCACCGACGCTGAAAAGAGAATACTTATTATGATTTGAAGCCATCAGTTTAAGTGCATTAAACAAACTTACTGTCCTGTCAACTAGTAATCGATGTTTGCTACTGTAATTTCTTGATTTGAATAAGTATCAAAGATAACTTACACCTTACACCACACACCCCAAAATCCACGCATTCTTATGAGGCTCTACATTACCCCCTACTTAAATGACGAATAGGAAAGAAAGCACAGAAATCTCACTTAGAAGTTACATGTTTGACGATGGAGTCTACAGTGTGCGTCTCCGCCCATTTTAAATGTACCTGCATCCCCAGTAAGTAGTGATGATGTTCCCCACATTGAAACTCAACGCCAGTACCCTTCGTCACTTTAAAGACCAGAGTTATACACTAGGCTAGTGGATTACAAGTAACTTCAAGTTATTAACCCTGGTAGTTATAGAGACATCCATTCACGGAGAGCCTATACACCACAATAAGGCTGAACAACCTCTCTTTCAGGAAATGGGAGAACACGAATGAATAGCCTTAAACATCATTTCACTGAATAACACGTTATGGCATCAGGTTAGTCAAATAAATAGGCTGGGATTTTCAGCCCACCGTTTTCACAGAATACGGCTTGAACCACAGGATATCCCCTTATAAATTTCAAAACATACAAGTAAGCATTAAATCTGACTTAAGAGCTTAGTGAACAGACGGTTACTTTCTTGGTATTGGGGTATTTTCTGAGCTGAATGGCTTAACACATCTTCTGCGTTAACTCCACAGTGAATTTCACAATTAAACAATTCATTGCACTGAAGATAACAACACTAACAATATCCCCACCTGTGCTACAAATTTTCCCCCATTCTTTTAAAAACAAACAAACGGACCCTTCATAGTGACTTACAGCAATAACACTATCAACGAAGGCGAAACATTCACTGATTAATCAGTAAAGACTAGTCTAGTCATCAGTGTCTACCGAATTTTATCAGTCAAGGCAGGAACCAAGCTAAAGTAAACAGTCATCGGGTTGCATTTCGAATCGCTTCGTGTCGACTGCAATTCCCTCTCCACCCCCCTGTCAGTCAACTGTCACCAAAGATGAAAGTTGTTTCAAAAGTTTACACAGGTTTGACATCAGTAAGAGAACCACTGGAAAACCAGAGCGGAGTACTGGACAGCTTTTCGTCTTAGTTCGGGACTCCCATCGCCGGGGTTCGGACCAAGGACTTTGCGGTTACAAGGCGGGCTCGTAGACCATTCAGTCTCTGGGACCTGAACCAATGACCAACCCATGAATTCCAACTTCTGCCAATTTGTGATATATGTAGCGCAACTGCCATTCAGTGTCATCAGCGAGTAACTGTTCTCTTATCAGCAAACTCCATGCTGGTTAAGACTTTTCAGGTAACTTCCTGCAGACAGTCAGTTGCTAGTGAGCATTAGATTAATTATCCAAGTGTTGATTTGCAGAGATTTGATTGACTTCAAGTAGTAGATCACGAACTGAATTCAGTTAGAGAACCACTGAAAATCTGAAGGGAGTACTGGACAGAGGTTTCATCTGTTATTGGGACCAACACTTAGGCGAACTAGTGACTGACTACAAGATGAAGACACTTTAATTCCTAGTGGGAAGTAATGAACTGGAGGGACCCACCAGGTTGAGTGTAAATACAAAAACTAGCCGACGATATTAGCTAGCTGGCAGTCACATCACAGTAGAAGTTAGGATTGATGCGTAATAATCTGTCTGTCTGTTTTCGATATAGAACTTTGCACAGATGTGCACCAGTTCAAGTCGCCACACTCCCTTCTTGTAGCACACAAAGCAAGAAAATAAAGTAGAAGAAATGCATAATACAGACAGTAAACAGAGGTGTGAGACAAAGGAATAGTAACAATGAAGAACGACATAGTTTCATTGAAAATCATAAGTCACAAAGAGTGGATGCATCTGCACCAGCCATTGAGAACGATTTTGAGCCATATCACCAATTGTTTCCAACCATTGGTTTCCACCGTCCCGAGGACCCCAACCAGTCAGGAAGTATACACCTTCCTAAGTGGCTGGCATAAACTAACTGTTGTGGATTTCATTGACTGATGAAGCCATGTTTTGGTTTGACCACCACTAGGTCTTTTCAAGCCTGACCCTATATCAGCTTCCCGTTGAGAAAGGCGATGACTAGGCATACGTAACACGTGTCCTAACCATCTCAAGTCGATGTAGCTTAACAGCCTCGTCGATTGATTTTCCCTCCTTACCTAGCACTCAACCGACTCCTAAACCTCAATATTGTTCACCTTATATTATACCACTTTACACGGGAGATAGAGCGCAGGTACCTATGATCAAAGACAGCTAATCTTTTCATGTGTTCCGCTTTCAATGACCAGTTCTCGCAGCCGTAAAGGAGGACGGAGTGGACTGATGAGCAGTACACACACCCTTTGGTCGATAGTCAGCCGGATATCACACCTACGCCAGAGACGGCGTAAACTGGCATATGCGAAACTAGCACTTTGTATCTGTACTGAGATTTCGTCAGAGATGAACCCGTTGGCACTGGCTGATGGTACTTCCCAAATAAGTGAAGTAGTCAACGTGCTCTACCGCTTCACTTCCTATTTCTAAACTAGGAGTCAGAGTGGTCCAGTCCTGTAACATCATCTTACATTTGGCAGGAGCGAATCGCATGCCAAACATTCGTCATTGGATTCTGTCCTAGTGACTCAATTAGCTATGATCTGTCCTCATAACCTGAAGGTTGTATTTTCGGTCCCTGAGAGGGTTATGAGTGCGTACAGCTGGAGAGTCCCGAGTAAGGACTCCCTGTTGGTTTCCAATGGTCCTCTAAAAAAAATCAGTTCGTGATCATTCTTAAAAACCTACTAATAATAAATAATTTTGTTAAAGGAACAATTTTATGGTTAACACAAATGGCAAAAATGACTATTAGATTATAAACAATAGCTCAAGTTACCTAATATAATTATAGTTAACTAACAACACTTAGAAATAAATGCAATTATTATTCATAAGTACACAGTCAATCGTACACACATGTACCCACACACACCCACACAGAGCGAGTAAAAGTGCACATACCACATTGGCAAAGACCATAGCTATTTGAGTTGCATCATTCTTAGAATCAAGAATATACGACAAAAGTTGGAACATTGGTGTAATACCAGAACCGCCACAAACCATATTCACACGTTTCACTTTTACAGGATTCGGTGCACTACGTGCATCTGGTTTAATATGGAATAAACCTAAAGAGAGAGAAGAAAAATAATTAAGATGAAAAATGAGATTTTATGTATCCATTGTGTTTTGAGAAGTATAAAATAATAATAATAATAATAATAATAATAATAATTCGCTTTATTCCAGAAACAGTACTAGTGCCACATTGTGGAATTTTCAGCACTTATCTACAATATTGCATCTCATTTCATCGCACATTTAAAAGGAGTATTACAAAAAATAAATATACAAAAACAATAGCAACAAAAATAAAGAAACAAAATAGCAAAAGAAAAGGGAAAAAATACCAAGAAGTAGAAAGGAAAATAAACAATATAATAAATAATATCTCAGTATTGGGTAGTGGAAGGTATGATATGTTTATGCGTGGTGAACAGTAACAGCTGTAATCATACAAGAAGTTATGAAATGATATTTAAGAACGTTTACCGCTAAGATGATCAGTTAATTTGATTGAACTACACTAAACAATCATAAAATAAACATTTCAGGTTTGTTTTTTATTTTTATTGTCAGCTCTAATGCGAGGTTTGTAGTGGTAGTGTGTGAGTAATCCGGCATAATACAAAATTTTTAAGATGGTGATAATGACGTTCACAACCAAGATTGTCAGTTAATATTGCCACAAAACTAATATTACATGATGGTTAATGACAGGACAATTTTGTAATACTCATAGTGCTAATATAGTCGGAACCACAAAAGAAGGAATAGAGTAAAGTCCAAAAGAAATTAAGCCAATGTTAGTAATTTAGGTAGCTAAGTTTGTTTAAGGTGTTCACTATAGAATACAAATAAGAGAGAAATAAAAGAGCCAAAATTATGTTATTAATAACAAAGCAAGTCATAGGTTTCGCGCTTAACATTGTCTCTGTCACTTAGAACACGGGCCAAATATGGTATCGTTGAGTTCCTATACTTGGTTGTACGAGCATATATTATTTTGTACCGACTTTGGTTCCACCTGATGAGATACAAGGAGAGAGTTGGGAATAGAGGGGGTGTTGGGGGTCGGAGAGTATGGTTTTCGACAATTTTTCGCATGTATTCAGATGCCTTTCTATTACACCACTAGTCCTGCTAACTACCTTCAACATCCTTCTCAAGATTGTATAGTCCTTTTTCCGTAGCCCAGGAAAGACTAATGGGGAGCAGTAAAGTAGAATAGGTAAGATAGCAGAGTTGACAAATTGGGAAAGCAGAGGTTGGGTGATTCCAGATAGTCTAAGTTTCTTAATGTAGTAGGCTAGACGGAACACTTTCTTAGAAATCGTTAGGATATGAGATGACCAAGTAGGGTCGGAAGATAGAACTAGTCCAAGGTATTTTTCATCAGACGTAGTTTCAATTTTAGTCCACTCAATGCTACAAGTTTCATGAGTACTTACTAGTGTTTGTAGATCTCGTTTATGCCTAAAGGAGAAGTCGGTAGTCTGGCACTTTGAGGGATTCAGTATGAGGCCATTTAGTTTAGACCACTGACTGATGTCCGACAGGAAGCTATTTTATTTGAAACAGTCTGACTGAGACTTAACGGGAAGCGAAACAGTCAGGTCATCTGCATATTTGACGAAGTTGATTTCGTCTGAAAGAGGTAAGTCATGTAAGAAGAAGGAAAAGAGAAACGGAGGGAGAACAGCGCCCTGAGGAACTCAAACACGGTTAATAGTAAATTATACTGAGTTATTTTCTCCACAAGAAATGCCGAAAAAAATAAATACCTAACTAGAAAATTTTATGGATGTCCACTTCAAAAGACACTCGAATTCCGACGTTGTCAAATATAAGTCACAAGTCAGAACCAGGAAATCACTGGCAGAAACTCTTCTCTATTTCTTATTGTTTTAAAAATCTAACTGGCAACCGTAAAGAATAGATACCACTGCGAAATGGCCCGGAACCAATCAATCAGATTGCTCAATATTAAAAATGGTTGCTTTCTGTAAACTTCGTTGCAAGTCTCACCCTGATTCAGGGTTAGCGTTGGGATAGGATTAAGGTAGAGTTATGGTTACGGTTGGGGTGAAACTTGCAACGATGATTATGGACTACATCCTTTTGAAATACTGAGTAATAGGACTATCATCATTAGGTTATATCCATCATAAAATCAATAATTCATCAGAATTAGTGATCAATATGACTGCTGCTCATACAGATTTTTGTTTATTTACAATAACCACTCCTGTGGGAAACTGAGACCTCTTTTTGCAGCATATTAGAGACATATACCCTACCTAATTGATTTGTGTTATACATATATTCAGAAAACAAACGGTTTTTACGTGTTAAATGCCGTCTTTTACTAGGAAATACGTGATTGGCCGGCTCAACATCATTTGACCGTGGTTTCTAATCCTTCCTGTTGCCATGTAACTGTGTTTGGGGATTGCTACATGAATTCGTACAGTTTTAGTTTGCTGTAATGCGGAGGACTTCTCAAGAGAAATGAGGAAAATACATTTTGTAGAGGTTTGGATATCGCTTCATATGGGACAACACAGCCCCATACGACATACTGCTGAATAACACTTTCCTAAAAAATCCTGTACGAAGAGTAGATATTTCGCAATCTAAATACCATGTGTTGCCTGCGTTAAACAGGGTTCGAAGCTGTAACCCTATGGGTAAGGAGTCAAGCATCTACACAAATGGATCACAGTTTAATTCGAAGTGTATACGAAATACCCGTACAATACATAATAAAGTTTAGATTAATGGAACAAAGAAATAATTAAAGTGCAGTCTATGCACCAAAGGTGAATTCCCAAGCTTTTAAAACCTAGTTGAGTTATTTCTCTCAGCCTCAGATTATCATGACCATGAACCCTTGCCAGACGCATAATGAGAATGGCACTGCTGTTAAAGATGATGAAGAGTAGAGAATTGCGAAAATGCTACTTCTCTTGACTGCCGTTTTGAACCTTAAGCATGTTAGTAATCTCCTCATGTAGAACCCTGCACAGAAGTGCAGCCATCCAAAGTTACCAGAATCCATAGTGACACAAATGTATAGAAAAACGCAAGGGAACTACAATGAGCGGATGCATGAGGTGGGGGAGAATAAGTACATACAGAATAATGAGGGATACTTCCCTTTGAAAGAAAATTATAAATAGTAGTTTTGTCCGACAAAATAAAAGTAGCTGTAGAAGTAACTAGAAGTAACAGCCTTGTCGGAAAATACAACTGGTCAAAAACTCCCACCCTGAAGGATACACCTGATATAGACTTCGTGCGAGGATATACAGACCATCACGATAATGTTGTTCAAGTGCCGAGTATCTTTATTTTACCTCTACGTTGGATGCTTTTGAAGGGAAACTACTGTGACGACAGTATCTACCCCTAGTGAATTGACAATCATCAAAGAACTTTCAGAAACATAGTCTTTGAAAACCAGATACCTATGAAAACTCTAAGAGACTTCGCTTACTATTTCCATGACTTCACATGCCTGCATTTTCTGAATGAGGGAGTTTCAAATGGAACTTTGCAAAGAAGTGCATCAGTTCAGATTGCCACACTCCATGTAAAATATAAAGTTAAAGAGAAAAGAGAGGAAAGAAATTCAAAAGAATAGTAATGAGTAGAAATGTACAGGAGAAAGCACAGTAACATGCAAACACATGAGGATCTAATAGATCTAGGAGATCACAGAGAGTGAATGCATCTGCTCCATTCAGAACAATATTCAGCCATATCACCGGAGGACCCCGACCGGGCAGTCTGTACCTCCCTATGTAGATCATCAAACCAGCTGTCAATACCTCATGTATTGATTCCGGGTTTTAGTTTGACCACTCTAAACTCCTTTCTAATCCAGCCCTATGTCAGCTAACATTGTCCATCTGTCTGTCTTTGTCTGTCTGTTTTCGACATAGAACTTTGCACAAATGTGCGCCAGTTCAAGTCGCCACACTCCGTGTAGCACGCGAAGCAAGAGAAGAAAGTACAAGAAAAGCATAATCGAAACAGTGAGCAGAGGTGTAAGACAAAGGAGTAATAACGAAGAACAAAACAGTTTCATTGGAGATCATAAGTCACAAAGAGTGGATGCATCTGCGCCACTGAGAACGATTTTGAGCCATGTCACCAATTGTTTCCAGCCATTTGTTTTTACCGTCCCGAGGACCCCAGCCTGGAAGTCTACACCTTCCTATGTGGCTTAGACCAACTGTTGTGGATTTCATTGACTGGTGCCAAGTTTTTGTTTGATCGCCGCTAGATTTTTTCCAGCCTGACCCTATATCCGCTAACATTGTTCGTCGAGGGAGGCGATGACTTGGCATACGTAACACATACACTGTCCATCGAGGAAGGTGATGGCTGGGCATGCGCAACACGCGTTCTGGTCACCTCAATCGACGTAGCTCCGCAACCTCGTCGGTTAATTTATCCTCCTTACCTAACACTATGCTCGAGCTTAGTATTACTCACCATATTATGCCACCTTATATGGAGAGCAGACCATGAATATATGTGGTCAAAGATAGCTGGCGTTTTTATGCGTACCATTTTCAATGGCCATGTTTCACAGCCATAAAGAAGGTCAAAGCGGACGGCCGCGTAGTACGCATCCTTTAGTCGATGGCTGAATATCGAATTCATTCCAGAAATGACGACGGTAGGTAAGAGCCACATAAGTCTTTTGTATCCGGGTTTAGATTTCTACAGCAATCAGTTCATTACAGCCGATGCAAATTGCCAAATCAGTGAAGTGATCAACACCCTGAACTACCACTACCTAGCTTTAAACTGAGTCATTGTAAATCAGTCCTGCTTCATCATCTTACATTTAATAGGAGTGAATCACACACCAAACATTCGAAGATTCCCACTCAACATGTTCAGCATCATCTGTATACTGCTATTTGGCAACAAGCCAATCACTAAGTTGTTAAAGTCAATTAAAATCAATTCCGTTACTACATCTACGATGAAATTAAACACTTTCTGGAGGATTAGCAACTGCTAAGATTTTACAGGGGTTGTGTTTAGTCATATTAATGGATGAAACCAATTAGCTCACATAAATGATACGAAACATTCGAATAGTTAAAGGCAGTCCATCAATACAATAACACAAGCAGGAATATATATTTTTTTGATTTTTGATTTACAGCTTAATTCCACACTGTATTTTTGGTACAAGTATGGAATTTTCAGCATGGATATCGGTAGCCCAAATTTTGCAGGCCGACCATAGATATCAGGTGTGCGCCGGCGTGGGCTCGAACCCCGGACCATGTGCATGGTCGGCGAGAGTCCTAACCACTGTGCCACCGACGCACATATATATATATAGTAAGTTGATAAGTACCCATTTTTTAGACATAAGCTTCGTTAAAAGTGATATAGGTGAGGATTGCCACTGTAATTACACAACAGCATGCCACAGTTGAAATAATTTTGTTCGTCATAAAAGATCGGTCTTTCAGTAGTCCGAATATATATATATATCACTTAATGTAGTGATGTGAAGTCTCAGGACTATTCCTTGACTCCAAAACTCTAAGAAAACAGATTGTGACGATCCTCCCCCAAATTAAATGGTTACTGATGGGGAACAAAATATTTCGGCGTCAATAAATAACTAACGTTTTATAGAAATAAATAATTTAATGAATTGTTTTTAAGGAAAAATGTTTGAGATATATGAAAATAAGGTCTTAATGGTTAACATACTATAGTCATAAATTAAATAGCAGAGAAATAACTCAGAAACAGTCAACTGTTAACATGACTGTTAACGTTCACCAACTGATTGAGCTATTGTCACTCCTCTGTAGTGATAGACAAAATAATGACAACTTTTTTCGAAAACTCCTCAATATATATTCAACTTTACAAAAGACTAATGTAATACATTCTGATGTAACAGATTAGCAGGAGTCCTTGGAATGCAAAGAATCAATGATCAGTAAAGATTGTTGGTAATATAGCTCAAAATGGTTCTCAATGGTTCTCAGATACATTCACTCTTTACAATCTCTGAAATCCATTACACCCTCATGGTTTCCCATGTTCGTATTCTCACTCTCAGATATTTTAACTCATTACGGTTCCTTTGAATTTCTTTTTTCTGTAATATTTTTTTTCTACACGAAGTACGACAACTTACAGTGTTGCACTTCTGTGCAAAATTCTGTGTGGAGACTCAGTCAGTTAGTTATATCTCAAAATGGCCAAAAACATACTACTTAATAAGCAGACTAACTTTTTTTGAACTGATACTAATAACACTGACTAAAAGTTTATATTGTTTCAATTCATAGAATAATATACAAGACTGAATATCCACAAAACGAAAAGTGAAGTAAAAGTGATAGCTAGCAGACAGTCACAGATATGTGAAAGTTGATACTGGGAGTTAGAAATGAAACCACAAATATATTCCTACTATAACGACAGAAGGCAAGAGTCAGGCAACAGATCGTTTATTAAGGAAATCAACACATACTTATAGATTTTCATGTACATTATTATAGCTTATTCAAGCAAACAAACACAGTCTTCTGACTGGTTGTTTCTCACTGGAAGTTAACCTAGCATCTTTTTGTGACTTTCTTGAATATCAGATCATCTACATGTTAAATGTATCCACCTACGCAAAACCTATGTTCTCATTTTTCTCACGACCAATATTGGGGACATAAACATTGACGTAAATTACTGTCTACCAACTTTGGCTAGCAGCCACCTCTCACCACACTACGACTTCAGATTTTGATTATCTTGTAGCCGTAAGCAAAATTCCTATACCTCAGCAAACGCTTTATTTAACCAATTCAAAAGTACGAAAATTGGAGGTATGTCTTAACCTGCCTTTATCTCTACACTTCGATCTGACTCTAATTTAGAGGACAGTGTAGCTTAAGGTTACTATGCATGATCCTTCTTACAATAAGCTCAGTTAACACAGTTCCCCAACATAACCAACCAAATTATTCACGTTTTGCATTACTTTATGCGAAAGGCGCAATGGATGTATTAGTGGTCGGACTTCTAAACATTTTTAAAACCTACATTTTTACAGACTATGTACTAATGTGGGGTACCATTAAGCCTTGATTGTCAAAAGTAGGCAAAAAACCGAATAATTCTTATGTGTTCAAGTCTAAATCTTGAAAGCCGATCCATCAAAGTCAATACAAGTATATGTTGAATAGGATCAACCACAACTCAAAAATTTACATTTTAAGGGGTAATGAACATTCCCCCAAAGGTTCTTATATGCGTCTAGGGAACCTTTTCATGTGTTTATTCTAATCATGTCACGAACTCTTCTATAAAGACGTCAGTCTGTGTGACAAGTACAACGAATTCTACAGGTACACTTACAACGGATCTAAAATTTTGCAAACGTTTTCAGAAAATAAATAAGCAAAAGGACAAATTGAAAGCTGACATACCACATCCTTTATACTCTAAATTTCCAGATGGACCGCGGACGTCAATATATCCATTTATAGGAACATTGGCAACATATTGTGACATTACTCCACCATTAGGATATCTAGGATTAACATTTGCTTTGTAAACCTGAAGGAAATAATACCACAAGAAATTAGGCCAATGAAAGCAAACAGATGTCTGCGAAAACACGTTAATATAATAAAGTTTTCTTTAGAAAAGGATTACTGCTATAACAAATTTTGCTGATAGAGGAAATTTAGAAGCACCTGAATAAATCCCCTTTTATAATCATTCCAAACGACCCAAACGACAACCAATACTTATTGCATCTTTAATTTTTTCTACGAAGTTGTATATTGGGTGAAAGAATAACGCGCAGCGCTATATATACACCACATAAAAATATTTCGATATTTTAATGATCCTGAAAGTGATCCTATTGGAAAGGCATGATACGCTTACACCAATCTGAAACCAGTTTGGAAATATACTGCACCCAGTGTAAAGAACAAGATTTGGATTTTTATCAATGGTAAGTCAATAATTTTATACGGATCAGAAACTAGGAGTGTTACGTAAAAGACTTCCAAAAGATTGTAGAATTTCATCAACAGCAGCCTTAGCCGACTACATACCAAGGATCAAAAGGTCAGCAATAATTAGCAGGACGAAACTTCGGGAAAAAACTGACCAAGAACCTATCGTTCAACAAATATGTGGGAGAAAATGAGGGTAGACTGAGGATATGCTGAGGAGACAGTCGAATGACATCACGCGCCAGGCCCTAGGGTGGTATCCATATGCAAAGCGACGAGTGGGTCGTCCTAGGGTGACATGGAGGAGATTGTGCGAAGGGGAGACGAGAAACTATGGGCAATCGTGGGCACAGGTAGGTAGGACAACAGGAAGTAGAACAAAGTGAAGATGTGTTGTTGGAGCCTATTATTCCATTCACAACACAGGGGAACAATAATAATGGCTACAGCGTGGTGTAAGCTAGTAAGCAAAGCAAGAGAGCGAACCGAATGAAATGTTCTGTGAGAGTTTTAGACCTAAATCGTATGATTTCAGTTTTGTAGTACCTACGACAACAAGCCGCTACTCGACTAGTTGTTAACACAAAACCCACAAATATATATTTTACATCTCCGTACCCACTATAGGATATGCTTAAATACCATGCAAAGTTACCCGATAATCACACTAGTGTTCAAGCATTTGGAAATGAACTACATCTATTATTTATTCAGAATTACTTTTCTACTTTGAATTAACATTGAACATATTGGAACATACCTTTATGACGAAGTCAGCATATCCTTTCTGAGTGTCCAGCGAGATAGGTGTATATGGTCGAACAACCAAATTACCATTTACTTTGGCACTGAAATATACATGATTACCTAGTGCGAAAATAATTTGTGATATCATAATCTTACCGACAGGCAGTCCCAAAACATGATCAGCTGTGGGCAAACCCAACTTCAGACGGATAGTATCATGAGTGATGAACTATTAATTTAAGCTAGATGGAGTTTTTGCTTACATTTCTGTCTACCACACGTAAACTTATTTTAGTGTCATTATCAATAAGAGTCTTCTTAGGCTTTTTCTCTCTGAAGATAAGTCCCAAGACGACTCCTGTTACAGCAACAACCGCTGATACTGAGGCTACAATGGCGACCTAGGCAGAAAATGAGACGAATGGAAACTAACAATAACTCCAGGACTCTGAGTCATGATTTTGTATTGCGCAGTAGCTCACGCACTCAAAACACCACAAGATTCAGTCCTAATATATTCAGTGAAAAAAACAGATATTGAATATTGAATACAGAATACATTCATAGTAGGCCTGTACATACTTCTTGATTCGCTTGCAACCGTCGAGGAGCAGTTATAAATCTCCCGTGAAATCTAATCCCATAGATATATATACCTATTGAGTTGAGTGAGTGGGTCGTTCTTAGGACTTGCAACTTGTTTCAGGCTGCTTCTACTGCTAGGATGAGTCATTGTGGCACTTTCAGGCAACCCACCGAACAAGTTAAAGGCGCGTTCTAAGAATAAGCACTTTGAGATTAAAGAAAACTTATATGGAATATGATAAAGGGATTGACATCTAGTTTGAAAAGTGTGTCTTTTCAACTAACGCTGACTATTTTGTCCATTTAAAATTCATTCCCGTTCAGTGTGAGGAGCACGGTTCCAGGCTCTCTTCAGGTTTCAGTGACATCAGCATCTTTTTATGGGGTTTGGTTGCTGGCCTCACGTCCAATATTCCCTCTTTTCTTAGTTAAGTTTAGTAGTGTGCTGGCTGAGGATAGAAGCGCCAAAATTTCGTGACATCTATGACCATTCTACCATTACTATATACATATATTCCTTCTCGTTTGTGGACATAACCCTCCTTGATACCTAGAAAAAGCTAGAAAAGCATGCAACAAGTCTGCATTATTAGTGAAAAATGGACAACATATATAACACAGACCATACACATGCATTCTATTTTTGATCAAGTGGTTTGGGGACATCCATGGGAGAGGAGATATATGTTGAGTACGTAACAATGTGATTGTACACTTTTTGGTTACTTGTATAAATTCGAGATATTGTACATAATTTTTGTCTAAAACGCTTCTTGTTGAAATATACATAACTTCCGTGTACAATTGAAAAATACACTCTGCTGTTGGAGACTTCGTTTTCTCCCTGGTCACTTCTGCTTACTTGCTCCACTCACACCGTGTTGTATACTTCGGATTTATTGTAGGAGCCTACTACTCTCAACCGAAGACATTTCTACAACCGGAACACAGCAGCTACAGCAGACGCAGTCCAAACAATTAACGTGCCCGTGGATTATATAATTAATTTGTAGCCGAGGACTTAGACGTTATCTTCAAGTAATCCTTTTTGTTGCTATAACTCGTCACTGTATTTTTGGTAATATATTGTGATTTAACACTCCACTGACTTGGATTATTACTTTTATACTTGGAATGTTAGTGAACTCTAATATTAGTCCCCTACATATATGCGTCGGTAGCACAGCTGTGAGGGCGCTCGCCGACCATGCACATGGTTCAAGGTTCGATCCTCGGCCGACGCACTCCTTCGCGTCACTAAGCCAGTAATAAGACTGGTAATGAGGGAAGGTTGGGCATAAGGCTAGCAACCCCATCCTGTAAAAATAATCACCACAGCTACAGAAACTTCAAGCAAATCTATTGAAGCCCTACGTTCCAGTGGGAACGTGAAGGAATAAATAATAATACAGGAATCGATATATGCCAGTGATAGTTAAAGGACAGGGCGCGAATAGTAAAAACGGCAAGCAGAAAAAATATAACTATAATTGATGTGTGGCCTCTAGTGTTGGAATGCCCTTCAGGTGGATTGAAGCATACTGTGCGACTTTGTGCAATGATTTAGGCTATCAGCAAATAGTGCACAATTCATGATACAAGGGTAGTGAAATCACAAAGAAAGCACCTGAAAGTAGGGCAAATTCGATGCTACCTCACTTATTGGTTTTGGATACTGAAATTCTCCATAGCTCATTAATGATATTTCCTGGGCTATTTTTATAAATTCAGTACACCGAAAGTTGTAAGTAGGATGCATAGTGTGTCTCTATGCTAACTGGTCAGTGTTGGTACGTGCAGGCATTTGAACTCATCCGCGAAACAGGCGAAAGCTGTTCTGTAGGACTCTTAGCATACTAATTGTTCATGAATCTCCCCATGCATATCCCTAGGCAGGATTTCATGGTGTTATAACAAACTTTGGTCTCACTAGATGAAATTAGAAAAATCCATGATGCATTATATTACACGCATCTTACATATAAATATTTACTTTAAATACGAGAGGGCCATAGGTCTCCAGCTGCGCGCCTCCATCGCCTTCGGTTTTCTATCAATGTTTTCACTCTGCTCCAACTTTTCCCACACGCTTTCATCTCCTCTTCACATGACCTCCTCCAAGTCACCCTTGCAATGACGACCAACTCGCCGCTTCCCTTTCGGCCTGGTTCCACTCGAGCAATGGCTTGTCTAGTGATGTCACTTGATGGTTTCCTTAGCGTATGGCCAGCCAATCCATCTCCATTTCATCCTGTCTATTTGTTTCACAATCGGTTCCTGGTTGCTTCGCTCCCAAAGATCCCTGTTACATATCTTTTCTGGCCAGCCATCTGATCTTGAGTATTGAGCGAAGACAACTGCCAATGAAGGTCTGTAGTTTGTTTGAGGTGCTCTTCATGACGCTTGAAGTTTCGGATTCGTATAGTGGCACTGACTTCATATTGGAGTTGAAAATCCGGATCTAATTTTTCATGCTGAGTGCTGTAGACCTCCATACAGACTTGAGAGTAATGACAGCTTGTCTCACCTTCCCGATTCTCGCTTTGATATCCTCGTCAGCTCCGTCAGGCTGTAGTTGAAACGATGCTCCCCAGGTAGATAGGTAAAGGAGGTTTTTTCTTTCAGATTCCTCCCATTTACGCTGGCTGATTGTTGTCGGTTGTCGTTGTTGCTTTTGGTGTTGCCCGGGAATCTTCATCATCTCTGTTTTCTCCATGTTCACCTGAGGTCATATCTTTGATGCTTCTCTGCCAACTTGTTGCTTTTCGCTTGCATATCTTCCAGTTTGTGGGAAATCAGACATATATCATCGGCGAAGTCCAGATCCTCCAAGGTTTTTGTGTGAGTCCATTTTATGCCTGTTTCCTCATTGCCTGTTGTCCGTCACATTATCCAATCTACTGCAATCAGGAAAATCATTGGCGATAGTAGGCAGCCAGTTTGTCTTACTTCCTTCTTCACTTCGAAGGTTTCCGTAAGTTTCCCAATGTGGATTACTCAGCATGCAGCATTGTCGTATAACTGTCAGATGAGATGTATAATTGTCGGTGACACCCTGTATTAGCGACGTAGTTGCCAAATCACCTCTCGATTAAATAATAATAACCGGTTAATAACTATCAGAAATCTATCAACTATGGTGCGGTGGACGTCCTTTTCTACTGTTCGTGTCACTAATTTTTTGCTGTCACTAATCCTACTATGTAATGGTGAAGATTGTAAAGAAGCAAATTGTTCAGTATTTGCTCTCGAATGACCAAATATCCCCTTTCCAATACGGCTTCTTGCATAGAAGCTCTTGCATTACTTGCCAGTTAGATTGTTTCGATCACATTACTGAATGTGTAGACAAAGGTCATTCGGCAGCAACATTATTTCTAGATGTTAGGAAAGCTTTTGATAAGGTTCCACATAACAGACTCATTTTGAAACTCCTATCTTATGGAATAAGTGGAAGGCTACTTGGATGGGTAACTTCCTTTCTTACAGGAAGAAAACAGTTAGTTAAAGTCAACCATCACTTATCTACATCCAAACCGATAACCAGCGGTGGATGGACAGCAGCGTAATTTGGCGTCATAAAGTCCGTTGTCGTCTCTGGGTCCATTCACAATACTTCTGCTGGGATTCCATCTGGTCCCGCTGCCTTTCCGACTCTCAGCATCTTGATTGCATTCAGGACCTCTGATTCGTCGGAGGGTTGATGTTCACTGGTGGTTCTCCTTCCGTTATTAGTATTGTTGGACGCGTTTTAGTGGCGGTCGATTTAGAAGTCTTTTGAAGTGTTCAGCCCAGTGTTTTCTCTGTTCCACCTCTTTGGTAATTGACTTTCCATTGTCATACTTTACTGGCTTAATCTGTGTTGAACTTTTTCCCGATAGGCGCCTAGTTGTTTGGTAGAGTGTGGCAAGGTCTCCTTTGCCTACAGCTTGTTCCGCTTCACTTTCCATGGTTTCACAATATTTTCTTTCGTCTTCCCTGGCACTCTTCTTTACTCTTTTGTTCAGTGTATTGTAGCTTGCATTGAACTCCTGTTTTTGTTGCTTATCGGTGCACTGGATAATCTTTTGTTTCACTATCCTTCTCTCTTCTATTAGTTTCCAAGTGTCCATAGTGAGCCACTGTTTGTCCTGCCTCTTCTTTCTGCCTGGAACTTCCATGCAGGTTTGACTCCACACCGTTTTCAAGTTGTTCCAGTGCTCTTCGACGCCGACCTCTTCGCTGGTGTTGATTTGTGTCTCGACTTTGTCCTTTATGCTTGCAATGAAGATGTCCTTTGTAGCCTGGTCCTTCAGCTTTTGAGTGTTGAACTTGGCTTGTGGTCTGTCTGCAGCTCCTCCTTCCCTGAAAGCTTTTAGTTTGATTTGGATTGTCCCTCGTACGAGATAGTGGTCTGAGCCAACGTCTGATCCTCTTCTTGCTTTTGTGTCCAGTAGGCTGCGCCTCGACTTTCTTTAAATTGAGATGAAGTCAATTTGGTTGTTGGTTCCCCCATCTGGTGACACCCATGTAGCCTTGTGGATATCTTTGTGATTGTGTAAGCTGCCACCAATCACTAGTTCGTTGAATGGGCAGAAGTCGGTGAAGAGCTCTCCATTTTAATTCATTAATCCGAGAGCTTCTCTACCCATGATGAGTTCCCTTCCTGTGTTGTCTGGTCCTAGTTTGGTGTTCATGTCTCCTATTAGCATTTTAATGTCGCCAGCTGGAGTGTTGTCGATTGTTGCCTGTAGTTGTCTGTAGAATTCTTCTTTCTTTTCGAGGTCTGAGTTGTTTGTGGGTGCATAACATAATCATCGCCCGGTACGTTCGAATCAGGTGACGCTTTTGCACGTGTTTTCGTTTATATTCATTTATTGGTTACTAATAATT